AATTATTAATATTCTTAGAATTTTTATTAAAATAAATATACAAATGATGTAAAACCTACCACTAAAATAGCAGAATCTACCTCTTTAAAAATATGTAATCATTAATGTTATTACAATTTAAAAATATATACAAAAATATTATGTGACATCTTCCACGAATAATTGCTGTTTTGTATCTAATAAATATTATTTAAGACAAGACACTCCATGTAAACAGGGAAAAATTTAACTAATAGATATCACCATACTATCCCAGATGATTGATTACATTAAGAATTGCAGACATTTTTTGTACTTCAAGTTTTCTGAAATGTTGTTTAAATATGCAAATGAGGCCATATCTAATTAAATATGCACTACTTTGCATACATTTCCAGAAGAGAAATTTGAACACTGGATAAAGCTAGGGTTAAAAATTATTTATTTTCTCATTTTGTTGATTTTGATTTCCTTTGTATCACTCCATAAATCAGAAAATACTGTTAATAGCCAGATTTCACCATGTTTTTAGAAATTAGCCTAAATATGTATACAATTATCAAACCCCTCTGTAAAAACCTTCAGAATATTGATAGGAATAAACTGTGATGTCTGTCAGTGGCCTGCTGAAGTGGAGATTTCTGGCTCAGTGCATGAGAAAAGAAACACTATACTAAATAAAATAAACACTTAAAAGTGTATTTTGGATGTTTTCTTTCCACTAGTCTGAAACAACATGTTATAAAAAAAATCTAAAAATTGACCAGCGCATGAAAAAAGTGTTTTTGCCTGTAATGTCTTGCATTATTACAAACGTTTAATCCTAACACAGTCCTTACAACATACGTAGCAGCACATTAAAACATGTTCAAACTTACTTTTTAGGTACCAATTTTCCAGTGTCCTCAAACAAATGGTCAAGCACATGTTATCATCTCTGACTTGTCTGGCCTGTTGGGGAAAATAAAAAATACACTCTTACCAGAATAATTATGTTTTTAGATTGTGTAAATTTAGTTGAAGCTGTCTCATGTGAATTCTTCCTTTAAGTTCTTTTAAGACTACCACTAGGTAGAGCCCTAAGCATATGTTTTGTATTCTGGTTCTTTTACTGAAGAAGACTTGTACATGTTGTTTGATTTGGTTTTTGTTGAACAAGCAGTAAAGTATGATGCACTTTTTTGGTCTGTGCGTTTAACAAGGGAATCACTGCTCCGAGTAGCTGAACGAATGAATAAAACACTGATGGAGACAGTGAGATCAATGTTAGCTGATGCAAAGCTACCTCAGAAGTTCTGGGCTGAAGCACTATCAATAGCTGTGTATCTGAGAAACAGAAGCCCAACAAAAGCAGTGAAAGGAATGACTCCTTTTGAAGCCTGGACAGGTGAGAAACCAAATGTTGATCATCTACGTATATTGACATTCTCCTGACACTTTGAGATAAAAGACATGGGTGCGCTAACTCATTTTCTTGGAGTGAAGATTGTCCAAAAATCAGAAACTGGAGAAATCTGGATGGGTCAGACAACATATGCCAAAAATGTGTTGGAGAAATTCGGAATGGAAAATTCAAAACCAGTAAGTGGCCCTCATGCCTTATTTGGGCAACAATGTGGCCTCTAAGAGGTCCTACCTCCACAATACTGAACAAAGTCAATGGCAACTTCTGTTATCTATACATTATAGACATATTCCCTATTCTGAACACCATAACTCTATAGATTATGCATTCAAAAACAAGCAACCATGCATGTAATTATAGTTACGTACCGTAATTGAAGTAGATTCTGCTTCGTCGTAAGAGGAAAGTCTGTCCTGTGTGTAGTTTCTTGTCGTTTGGGTTTATCAGTCGTCTTATAGTCACTTATACAGTATATCTTGCGCATTGGGGGGAACATTCAACGTACCAGGATAACGGATGCATCTATTTTATAATGAGGGGTGGCGAGGTCTTCATCCACCCTACCTGTTCATACAAATGTATTATGCATGTACCAGTGGCAACCTGAGATTACATCTTTCTGAGTTTGTCGCTATTCCACTTCACGCTGTTTGTTTATTTCTGTGATGGTACATTAATTTTAATTTGCAGGTAAGTGGACACCCCTCATTTCAGCGCTTCTCTGATATGGTCTATTTAGGGAGAAGGTATGACAGTTGAGAAATCAGTAGCAAATGTCATTGTCCAGAGCTGACCGATGGGAACGGGAGGAGGTGTGTGTCCCAACAGCTGGTGCGGTGGAGCTCTGACTCGAACTTTCTAGAATGGAAGAGAACTCTCGAAGATAGTAGTAGAACTGTGGGGGAAGGTGTTACAATCATAACAAAACATCCTGCAGACTTCTGGGAGGTGCTGGTGAGTGACACTATTGTGGCATGTTTATATTGGGTCAAGACATACTGATGCTAAAAGTGCTGACAATACTACTACTACTTACTACTACTACAACAACTACTTATCATTACTACATTATATATTATGCACAGTAATAAATTAGATTTGATATATTTTTTTAAATGTTAGTATTAATACCTATTATATAAAATGTTTTGTGGTTTTAAAATAAAATTAAGTTTTTTTACCCCGAGCTAAAAACAAACCCCACAGACAGAAAAAAAGTTTTGACTTTTTGCCCAACATATTCAGTTATTGATATAAAATTACTATAAATGCCCTGTTGTCACCCTGTTATTGTAAAATATTTTTTCATGTTGTAAATGAAGATTATTCAATTACAAATAAATACTATTTCAGTCTTTCTAAGTTTCATATTTAATTCAAATTAAATTTGTTAATTGCCATTTCTTTGTAATTATTTGTGAAATTTACAAGCAATTTCTGAGTGAAAACTGTTTTTGTTTCTATGTATACTGTACATAAAAGGCGATGAATGATGAGATATTTTCCCTGAGAATCCTGATACTGACATCTAAGTAAGCAAGTTGGCAATATAACATCAATATATACCCTACTGGGGGTCAGTTAATTACCGTATTGGCCCGAATATAAGACGACCCTGATTATAAGACGACCCCCCTTTTCCAGATGTACCTTTTGGAAAAAGGCTTTTTAAAAACCAAATCTTGTTTTTTCTCAGTAAAACACATTTTGTTTTCAATTATTTTCATATTGCATATTTTTCCTATTTTAATTTTTGTTTTGAAAGTATGGTAAAAACTGGTAAAATGTACCAACAATCATATTTTAAAAAATACACTTTTTGATATACTATTAAAAAAAAAAAAAAACAGGTAGCCAATCTGAATTATCCATCTAATAGTAGCCTACCAAAATCTTATTAAGAGTAGAAGTTAAATCTTACTGTAGTCTTCAAATCTGGGTACTGTCTTACGTTTTAAAATCACAAAGGGAGTTTGGTCCCATCAGGCTATCGTGTCAGTCACGACTCATGCAGCTGTAAGGTTTTCTGCTTCTTTTGTTATTACTCGAGATCTTTACAACACGCATTACATTACGTATTTCATGGCACACTCATGTTATGCGTATTTGGCGCCACCTAGTGTTGTGGGTGTATTATTGACATGTCAAAGTCTAGACCCTGAATATATTATAATTTTATTTATAAAATTTTTTTTTTTTTTAAATAATTAAATTAAATTAATTAAATTAAAAATTAATTAATTTTCAAAAAGTTAACTTTTCCTAAGAAAAGACACACTGAACTGATCAAAAGTGACATTGAAGACATTTATAATATTTACAGAAGATTTATATTTTAAATAAACTGTGTTCTTTTGAAATGTATATTCATCAAATAATGTTTCGAGTACCAGATCTGCATATTAGAATGATTTCTAAAGGATCATGTGACACTGAAAACTGGAGTAATGGCCCCTGAAAATTTAGCTTTGCCATCATCGTTATTAATTACATTTTAAATTGTATTCAAATAGAAAACTCTTATTTTAAATTGTAATAATATGATTACATAATATGATGTTTCTGTATTTTTGATCAAATGATTACAGCCTTGGTGAGCACAAAATACATTTTTCAAAAATATTCAAAAATCTTACTGACCCCAAACATTTGAATGTTAGTGCAGACTGTACATAACACAATTTAACGGGAGCGAAATACATACAAATTTGCCAAAATAAAATGGACACTCGTTCACAAACAATGCACGTCGCAATAATCTCGAAACGGCCAAATACTGGTCGACATTATAATTCAGACCAACACAAAGTTAATTTATAATAATGATTTAATAAATTATGGCCTCAAAACAAACAAAGGTGCAATAATAATATTCAAAAGACAGTTCGGACATGGCATTTAAAATCAGAAGCGCACTAGCATCTAACATCAAGCAATCATTTGGACGCCTCTAGGAAAAGGATCTCCTGAGAGAATGTATATGCGTGTATGAAACTCACCCGTCCCCACTTGAAAGACTGACTGCATTTTAGTACATTAAAACATTCTGGCATCTGGATATATGTAAATGATGCACTGCTGATGCGAATCCCACTCTTGATTATCAGGAGCTGATATACCAGTGTAAATCTGAGCATGACTGAAGTTACACAGTGAAAGACACTCCTACATTTACAGTACATGACACATTTGTGATTATAAGAGATGTCTGAGAACTACAGTCACACATCTGTTGTTTCCTAGAAACTGTTTTGGCTTGGGAATAAAACGATAACACACACTTGTATAATGTATGAAAATTGCACGTTTAAAAAGATCTGAACAGCCCTGTTCCCTAGAGTTTGAATCGCCAAGCGCTGCATCTAGGTCACTAAAGACTAGATCCTTTAAGAGGTAAAGAACATAGCAGTTATAAACCATCTTTGCATATCAAAGGAGCGTAATTATTGCATGTTTCCAAAACAGTGAATGGCGTGATGTGACTTCTGCCTTCAGTCCGATCCCAGAGCTGCCTGTAATGTTAGGGCTACAAAAGCTGAATCAGCATGTGGTTACGGATGTCCGTGAATCTGAACTCTTGTAGCCACATTCCCTCCAAACAGTCTGTGATCTGATGTTTGTAGATGTTGTATTGGCGAATGTTTTCTTTGTTTGGCAGCAGGTGGCGCTCTCGGCACATGAGGATCCGGAGGACTACAGAAGCAGGTGATGATGGGGAGGGTAGAGATGAAGATCATCTCGTTTTGCTCCTTACTGGAAAAGAGATCAACAATATGATCAACGTTTATAGAAGTTGTAAGTTATTAGTGGCAGTATTACTTTCATAATATACAGTATATTAAAAAGTATATTTAAGACTTTTAATGTAATATAAATAATTACAGTATTCTGGTATTTATACATTTATAATAAAATAATTATCAATATATATAATATTTTAACATTAGTAGATTATATAGTTTTATATTTATTTAATATTATATTACAAAGGTTATTCTTTTTTATTCTTTGTATTACTTTCACAATATATTTTTAAATGTCTAAATATTTATATTTGATTTATTATGTTATAATTTTTAAATATTTATAATATCATATTAAATTCTAAAAGTTATTATTTATATTACAAATGTTATTCTTTTATATTTATTATTAAACCTTTTTAAATGATAAGTTGTAATACTGACTGACTAGCCTTATTCCTTTTTTAACTTTCAAAATGTAATCTGATATTTATAAAAATCAGGGATAAGATTTGTCAGTCAATATTACAAGTTATAATTTAAAAATGTTTTTATAATAAAAATAAAAGAATAACATTTGTTATAGGTAAAAGGTTTTTATTTATAATAATAATAAACCTTTGTAATAAAATATAAAAAGTAACTCGGAATTGAATCTGTTATTCATACATGATATATCTGATATTTTATACATTACATTTATAATGATAAGAATTAAAATATAATAACATTAAAATAAAAATCTAAAAAAATAAAATCTAAACAAAAATTTAAATATATACACACATGTGTTCATTATTATATTGCATATGATTATAAGTTATAAATATTACATTCAATAAAAATTAAATATTCATATACTGTACATACACACAAAATGGATTATAACTGGTCCTGAATGTTTTTTGGCCAATATACAAAATCTTACCTGCTATGATAATAGTTATGCTGCAACTGACCAATTAGACTATTCCAAAGAGCCACATAATAACAGATATTTTGACAATTTCATTGCAGATCCAAAAGACCTTATGCAGGTTAGGCATCATATTTAATTTAATGTGAGTAAAAATAAGGCTGTGAGAAAAAAAACAAAAACAAAAAAACATAGGACAGTACAACCTATTGAACGTATTGTACTTCTGTTCCTCACATCTTCATTTTCTATATGACCCTGACTAAGATCCATAGATCCCTCGAGATGCAATCGACTAACTGTACTGCACAAACTCACAAAGTAGACATCCAGCACTGAGTCGTCATCTCTGTCTATGTCCATGGTGCTTTGCTCCGACGTCAGACAGATGCCGCTGTCCTCCAATGTAAAAGTTGAGCAGGCACATCTGAAAGGAAACAACAGCAGCAGTGAGTCAGAAGAACAGCACGAAGGAGCTCAAGGACAAATGAAGAGTCCTCAAAACATGACAGATGAATATTGAGCAAAGCTGGTGGCCTCATAAATGCCACAGAGGGAATATGTGTGGCCGTGTGTGAGGGAGACCAGAACAGAAAGCATTTCAGCTGTAATATTTCTCATGACATGTTTCAGATGAGCGCTGGCCATCTATATCCACTTTGGAATGTGCTTATGTTTTTATTGCCTGTAATAATCTCTTGAGTTATTGCTGCCATGGCAACCAGACCCTTGTTCACCTCATGAACATAAAGCACTTTGAGCATGTGACACTTTTCAGACGCTGAGGGTGTTCATTAACACAGGCTCACCCTGGACTTCACCAAATGCTCTGACTGCCTGAGGTCAGCAAGATATATTTTTTTTTTTGAAAGAAATGAATACTTTAATTTGACAAGAACGCATTAAATTGATCAAAAGTGACAGTGAAGACATTTATAAATGCTGTTCTTTTGAACTTTCTATTCATTAAAGAATTTTCCACAAAAATATTAAGCAGCACAACTGTTTTTCAACATAAAAAAATGTTTCTTGAGCAGCAAATCAGCATATCAGAATGATTTCTGACGGATCATGTGACATTGAAGACAAGAGTAATGATGCTGAAAATTCAGCTTTGCATCACAGAAATAAAATACATTTTAAAATGCATTCAAACAGAAAACAATATTTTAAATTGTAAAAATATTTCACTTTTTATTACAGGTATCTGTATTTTTAATCAAATAAATGCAGCCTTGGTGAGCAAAAAACCATTTTAAAAATCTTTCCGTGCCCAAACTTACCATCTGAAACATTGTACATCCCTAACATGAAGTCTAAGCAATAGCAATAGTTATTTTTGCCTTAGCAACCACCTCTAATTAACCTATTATGTTGATTAAATCAACAAGATAGCATCTGACTAAGCTCTTTTAACGCAATAATCATTGTTCAAGCTGAGGAGCACCGAATGCCCCTTTTTGTGGTATTGTGTGTCATAAAACAATACCACTATTATATCCGTCCTTAGCAAGCAGGTGAAATATTCATGAGGTCTTTTCACAGGAATTCCTCTTAAAACAGGTGTGTGTCAAAGGTGAGGAGATCAGTGAAAACCAAACACAAAGAATCCAGCAGCAGAACAAGTGTAACATGACAGCACCAGTCAGCTGCTCACGCTAGAGCAGGATATAAGAAATCCAGCTCAAGTGTTACATTGTGGCATTGTTTGACTATATTCGAATGACTTGGTTAGTTAAAGGAATAGTTCACACAAAAATCAATTATTTGTAATCATTTACTCAACCCTCCTGTCATTCCTAACTCTTTCTTTAATGGAACACAAAAGGATTTTGAAGTATCTGTTGCTCGTTTGAATGTAATTACAATACGTAAATAAGTAAAGTATGTTTTTGGGCTTCAAAAAGGACTCAAACGCACTATAAAAGTAGTATACAACTTGAAACTCAAATCATATGACAAAAATGATGATAGCTAGCTTTCCTTGGTATGTATCTCCATGAGATAAGTTTGATTTGTGAAGGAATGATTCTTTTGAACTAGATCATCAATGTATCAACTGATTCAGTTCAAAATCACACTGGTTTGTCATTATTTACTCAACCCTAACCTATTTCACTTTCTTTCTTTGGAGAAACTCAAAAAGGTTTTGAACAATTTCCATGAAATTACAGTTAAATGAAGGTTTTTAGGCTTAAAAAAAGGACTCCAATGTACCATAAAAATAGTAAATGACTTGAAACTGAAATCAAAGGACAAAAATAATGACTTCTAGCTTTCCTTGGAGTGTTAATGAGAGAAGAAGCAAAGCTGGATTTGTGTAGGAATCATTCTTTCGAGTCAGATCTTGTCAATGAATCAACTGATTCAGTTCACAAAACTGCTCTGAATCATTTGTTGAGTTGAGTGGTTCAAAGAAGACGATTGGAGCATAACCACTTAAATTTTGGTCTGTTCATCTCATAAAGTTCACAATCATATGACGCACAAGTCATATGGTTATTTTTACGATACTTTTATGGTGCTGTTGCCGCCTGAAATCCTTAGTCCGTATTCATTATGACTAAGTGGCTAAAAAAAATTCTCCATTTGTGTTCCATGGAAAGTAGTCAAATGTGTTTGGTAAATTTTCATATTTTAGTTGAACTGCCCCTTTCAGTATCTCTGTGGCGGGAAGAGAAGTGGAGATGTGAGAAGGTAACAGGTGTGTGTCGGGTTGATGGGTCTGAAGGTTTGTGAGATGTGAGGTGTCACCTTTCGTTTGATCTGGCCTCCCGGTACCGATCTGTGACGTAAATAGAGGGCGGGGAGAGGGTGTGGCTCAAGGAAGAGGCTTCATATGGGTAAGGAGTCTGAGGGACCAGGTCAGGACGGTTATAGGACCAGTACACTGTGGTATGAGCAGACAAAACATCATATGAGGTGACTGGGAGGAAACATGTATTTTCTGATGAATAAATGTACAGTACATGACAAAGTAACTAAACTTGAAATTTAAAAATGTAATTTATTCCTGTGATGCAAAGCTGAATTTTCACCATCATTACTCCAGCCTTCAGTGTCACATGATCCTTCAGAGATCATTCTAATATGCTGATTTGCTGCTTGAGAAGATTTATCAGTATTATTGTCAATGGAGGAAACAGTTGTGCTGAATATTGTTTTTAGAAACTGATACATTTGTTCAGGATTCTTTGATGAAAAAAGTTCAAAAGAATAGCATTTATTTAAAACATAAATCATTTGTAACAGTGTGAATGTCTTTACTGCTACTTTTGATGAATTTAATGTATCCTTGCTGAATAAAAGTATTAATTTCTTTTTAAAAACACACTAACCCCAAACTTTTGAACGGTAAGAGATCACATTATTTATTATAATTCATACCCAGCAGCAGCTCTGAGCCGATGACTAATTTAGCAGCGCAAAAGGTCAAAGCAAGGACATTGTGTAACTTCTGCCACTGAGGTTTGTGTTCAGGTAGTAAATGCGAATTGAACGAGGAAGATCTTTAGTGATGGCATAAGATGCAAATCAAGGGCTTTTTACTCTGCACTTATCCCCAGGTATCTTTTTAACCCCAGACTAATGCCATTTTTAACCCTAGCTAATGTTGTTTACCTCATTAATATGCAAATAAGAACATTAAAGGGATAGTTCACCCAAAACTGAAAATTCTGTCATCAATTACTCACCCTCCACTTTTTCCAAAACACTAAAGATATTTGAAAGAATGCTTGTAACCAAACAGCTGATGGTAGTCATTGAGGCCCTGTTTACACTAGTGTGTTTTCATTTTAAAATGGCGTTTTAAAATGAAAACGATCCTCGTCTACACTGGCGTTTTTTACCGCGTTTCACAAACAATCTCCGTCTACACTACACAACCAAAAACGCATGTCACATGACCATTTATGCAGGTACAACCAATAGATACAATATGTATAAGTAGATGCCTTATTATTTAGATGGCGGACGCGTCTACGTGCTTGAATGGGGAATCTACCTATACATATCTATGGGTACAACAATGAACATGATGTTATGTTTACACGGTCGTCAAGGATACGCAGGGCGAATGTGGGCAGCCACGCCATCGTTTTCAAAAGTCTTCGTTTTGGTCCGTTTACACTGAAGCGCAACCCCGGAGTTTTCAAACTAAAACGGGGTCTGCAGCGTTTTCAAAATTCTCCCTTTTCGAGGGTCGAAAACACCGGAGTAGTGTAAACGACAGGCTTTTGTAAACGATGGCGTGGCTGCCCACATTCGTCCCTGCGTATCCTTGACGACTGTGTAAACATAACATCATGTGAAAGTTACGCATTTTAAAACGAAAACGGCAGTGTAAACGTAGCCTGTCTTTCATAGCATTTTTTTTTCCTCCATACTATGGAAGTCAATGGCTACCGTCAACTTCGGTCAGTATAACCAAAATTCTTCAAAACGTCTTCAACAGAAGAAACTCATAGAACAGAAATTGTGGAGGGTGATTAAATGATGACAGAATTTTCATTTTTGTGTGAACTATCCCTTTAACCCTGGGTTTACAGATGTACAGTGTGAAAACTTGAAACTTAAACTAATCCAGAGTAAAATATGAAACATGATAACCGATGATTATGTTAATCCAGAGTTTAAAATGTCTCTCAGATAATATTTTCACATGCGAAAAGCCCTCTAGCCCTATGAACAGTTTTCATATAGTCAGTGCCGCCCACCTTGTCCATCCAGACTGGCAAGACTACGGGCTCCTCCAAGTCTGTCCGTCTTCTCCTCGGCCTTCTCCTCCTTCTGTGAGGACAGCACCTCTTGAGAAGAGCACTTCAGCGCTGATATGGAGTTCCGCGCCCTCTTGCTCGGGGAGAAACGATTTGCTGGATGTGCGACAAAGAGATTAATTACGGACACTGTCCTAAATGAACTGAAAATATGATGATGTAACTCTCCCCTAACTGTTACCTGGCAGCAGACAATTAGACCGTGAAATGAAATCTTGGTCTGCTGTCTAACTTTATTAGAAAGGATAAAAATAAATCTGCATTCTGCTATTTTAATTTGGCTTATACAAATCTGATTACCGGGGGGAATTACAGTTCCTGACTTCTTGTTAGGTTGTAGAAAGAGGAAGGAGAAGTTCTGCTGTTGTAATGTTGTTTCAAAATATTCTTAGTAATGAAATTAAAGTTGAAAAATAACGACGGTCGTGCAAGAATATTGATGCAACTTCTGTTCTTACGTTTTTTCACTGACAGGAAGTTTTATATATGATAATTATCTTTTTCCAACTATCAATTAGATTAATTCTAATTATAATTCCACTGCTTGCAATGCACTTCTTTGACCCGGTTTTAATCTAGAGGCCAGAATATCATAGAAAATAACCCAGAACATCCTAGTACTGTGGCAGTGACTTTGCATATTTTCTTTTAGTTTGATTTAATTCTCCTTTTCACATACACAGAAATATATGCAATTAAATGTACAGACTTAAATTAAACTATTTCTTAATTATTAAATAATCGGTAACATTTACCAATACGTTTTCATTAGTTAACTACATTAGTTAATAATGAACAATATTTCTACAGCATTTATTAGTCTTCATTTGTACATTTACATCTACATTAAGTTGCATCTGTTAAAATCATTTTATGCACTATGAACGTGAACAAAAAAATAACAACTGTATTGGTATTATTGTTTTTAAGAATTTTACAACTGTTTTTCACATCAACAAAGGTAAATAAGTGTTGTAAAAAATATATTGCTCATAGTTCATGTTAACTAATGCATTAACTAATGTTAACAAATGAGACCTTTTTGTGCAGTGTTATCACATTTCTTAAAATATTAATTTTGCAGATGCAGGTTGTACCATTATAACGTTTAACATTCAAAATGTATCCCGTTGTGATTATGTAATACTTGCATATTGAATGAATTTGCTCACGCTGTTGACTTACGCTGAATCTTTCTGAACACTCTGGAGCTCATGAACTTGAGAAATCTGTTTGCATAGAAACTCGGTCTGTGCACAGACACCGTATCCTAGGAGAACGAGAATACAAGACAATTAAACCAGGAAGAGTCTTTAATTCCCCCAGCGGTATGAATAGTCTATTCATAAACGAAGAGAGCAGAGAGACATATAGACTTACACCATCATAGACGAGTGCCTTCCAGGAGTGCTCCAGCTTCTTAATGAATCTTGGTTGGAAATAAGAGCAAGAGATCTCGTCAGGGATGAGAGAGTTCATTTAAAGATGGTGCATTGAGCTAATATGCTGTAAGCTGGTGTGTAACATGACATTTGGGCTCTTGGCTTTGTTGTAAACTGACACCAGGCTTACCTGTAAGACTGCAAGATGTCGATTAAATAATTAATTTCTATTTAATTTATTTGGGATATGACAGTTCCTAAATTAAATCATTAAGACATCTTAACAAATCCTATAATTAATTATTTTTTATTAGAATTATTGAATTAACATTGATATATAAATAAATAATGCACATATTAATACATAAAAATAAATAATATATATGAATAATAATGTATATAAATACACATGTTCTTGAATAAAGTATTTTGACTTTTTTTTCTTTTGATTTTGGGGTAAAATATGACAGTTTTTTGTAGTGAAAGTCACTGGCTAAATACAAAACATTTTTTACCAACACTAAACACTAAAAAATATATATATACTGTATTTGCAAGTCTTTAATTCCCCCAGCGGTATGAATAGTCTATTCATAAACGAAGAGAGCAGAGAGACATATAGACTTACACCATCATAGACGAGTGCCTTCCAGGAGTGCTCCAGCTTCTTAATGAATCTTGGTTGGAAATAAGAGCAAGAGATCTCGTCAGGGATGAGAGAGTTCATTTAAAGATGGTGCATTGAGCTAATATGCTGTAAGCTGGTGTGTAACATGACATTTGGGCTCTTGGCTTTGTTGTAAACTGACACCAGGCTTACCTGTAAGACTGCAAGATGTCGATAATGCCTAGAAATATAAGTAGTTTCCCATCCCTGTGTGTTTTTGCAGGAATCCCTCCCATTCTGTGTAAAAGGAAACATTGTATTAAAATTATATTATGTTATTAGTGGCTAGGAAATAAACATATCAAGGTCAAGACAAGCCATTTCACCCGCAAAATAAAAAATTCAAATCATAAAGCTTTAATCTTTAATCTTATTTTTGCACTGTGACAAATTCTAATTGCAGTTTCTAACTGCAGTCTAATTTGTGTTTTTATTGTTCTAATTTTTCAAACAAAAAAAATATTATAATACTGAAAAATGATTCTTATTTAAAGACATAACTAATCATAAATGAATAATACAGTTCAACAAATATTGTATGTGTGTATGTGTGTATATATATATATATATATATATATATATATACACACATAGTTTTTATTAATTTTATTTCAGTTTTAGTTTTTTATTCTTATTATTTTGTTTTATTTTATTGTAAAGTTTATTTTATTTTATTAGTAACAAACTTTTTTTATGGTTTTAGTTTTAGTTAACTTTAATAAAAAGTAGAATATCTCTTTGGATTTGAGACTTTAGTCTTTGCAACTTTACAGATCTTCTTTATGCACCAAGAGCTTGTAACACTCCAAAGAGAAAGGAAAAATTGAAATCGCATCATATGACCCCTTTAAACAGACATTAGTCATCAATAGGTCACCAGACAAAAGATCTCAGCAATGATTACTTGTTAAAAATACCCAAGAAACCAACCATAGAGTACATAGATGTGCGCTTCTAGCTGTTAGTGTTATAGGAATACTATATATCTACATACTTTCCAGGCCTGCACATCATTTACTTTTGGCTTTAAATGAAACATACTCAAAACAATCAGGTAAAAGCTGTAGCCGTGAATCAGTAAATGTCACTTTTGCATGAAGCTCTTGTTCCCCTCATACCCTCCATATTCAAATGAATAATATTTGAATAGGGACACACAACATCTTTGTTTTGCATCCCGTCAGGAGCGTCTAAAAGCCTCCAAATGGGCCCTCAACTAGGTCACAGTAATAACCAACAATGGCGGCAGTGGAGGGCAACACCGCTTGTTTGGCACATGAAGTCATTGGGTCAAAGGTTAACCTGTTGTTGAAAGGAATTTACACCTTTTTTTGGGTGGAGTAACAGATTAACATTTTGCACAAAACCAGTCTTAAGTCGCTGGGGTATATTTGTAGCAATAGCCAAAAAAACATTGTATGGGTCAAAATTATCGATTTTTATTTTATGCCAAAAATCATTAGGATATTAAGTAAAGATCATGTTCCATGAAGATATTTTGTAAATTTCCTACAGTAAATATATCAAAACTTAATTTTTGATTAGTAATATGCATTGCTAAGAACTTCATTTGGACAACTTTAAATCAGTATTTTGATTTTTTTTGCACCCTCAGATTCCAGATTTTCAAATAGTTGTATCTCGGCCAAATATTATCATATTTATTGTCAAAAAATTGACCCTTATAACTGGTTTTGTGGTCCAGGGTCACATATACCCCTTTTTATGAAAGCCTAAATAGGCCTGAGCACTAAAAAGTGTGATTTTTAAAAACTAGTTTTACTACGTATTTCCATTGTGAAAAACACTCATTAATAAGATGAAGCTCATTGAAACATTTTTCACTCTTCAAAGATTTATAATTGAACTTGAGATTATTGGAGTAAGATACTATTTCAGTCTTTCTACTTCAAAATGTCATGTTTAATTCAACATGTTGTAATTCTTTGTGAAATTTACTAGCAATTTCAGAGTGAAGAGTGTTTGTACATCGATTGTTTTTCAGTGTAGTTTACATTAGGTTTTAGACTGAATACGTGTTGTTGACGTGCACGTGTACTCAAATATTTTAATTTGTCTAAAATCAGAATGTTGCAGACATTCAAAACAAGCCGTTTGGCCTTTTTGAACTGGAGAGGAAGTTTTGAGCTCTGAAAGTTGCAGTATGTTTTCATTGTACATCAAGCTTGTTTGATTCCTCATGAGCCCTTAACAAAATATAACAAGTACAAATATGGGCTAAATATGACAAGTGGTTCAGTGCGCTAAAACCAAAGGAAACAAATGTGTTACGTGAAAGCTCTTCCTGTTTTGAGATACTTATGTAAAGTATTTTTCCATTTTCCACAGAAAACATCCTGGGCTTCAGGGCAGCAGTACACAATGGCTTGCTGTTATACCACTATTAAAACCACCTGTTTTGCAGCTTGGTTTGCAGCCATCAGTCGAGTCAGCTCAAATGAGACCAGTCACTGGTCATGAATTAACATCAGGTGAAGAGTTCAGTGAAAACATGTGTCACTTGTGGTCATATTGTATGCAAACATGAGGTATGTGACCTCCCGTGACCCGATAAAAAGATTTAATTAGGGTTTATTAGGTTTTATTTTCTCATTAGGTTTTATTATTGTTTGTGCACTTGACATTTCAAAAATAAAATCTATTTTTATTGCACATAGAAAATACATTAGCAGTGCCTGTATTTAATCTAAACATTTTTAAAGACTTTTTTTCCTTTTAAGTTCTTTTAAGACAGAAATCTTCCTATAAACTTACAAGAACCAACTTGTCAAGAAGTTTCTATGTAATAAATATATGACACAATGATTATTTGCATTCACTTCCTGGTTAGTTGTGAATACATGGGCAAAATCCATGTTCATACATGGTGTTTACTCTTTAAGGGCAGCTTGTTGGGGAAAAAGTTCAATCAAAATAATAATAATAATAATTATTATTATTAATAATACTAATAATAACAATGATATTTTAATAATTATTATTATTATCATTATATATACTTTTTATTATATATATATATATATATATATATGTGTGTGTGTGTGTGTGTATGTATATATATATATTAGTGCCGTCAAATGATTAAATGTGATTAATCGCATCCAAAATAAATGTTTTTGTTTGCATAATATATATGTGTGTTATGTGAATATTTATTATGTATATATACATACACACACATATAGTATATGTTTTAAAAATATTGACATGTCTATATTTATATTCATATAATTTATATTATATGTAATTATATTTAATATGTAAACACAACATAGTTTTCTGAAATATATACATGCATGTTTGTGTATTTATATACACATAATAAATATATACAGTACACATACATATATTATGTAAAAAAAAAAAACTAAAGAAAAAGCTAAATTTTTTTGGGATGCGATTAATCGTTTGACAGCACTAATATATATATAAACTGAATCGTTCCTCAAGGGGTAATAAATGTCAATTAGGCATTTGCTCACACAAGACTAAAATCAAACCTAAATATTTGTTTAGTTTTGAATATGAAAAAAATAAAGAGCCATAACTACCACAGACACTGAGGATGACATCCTCCTGCAAAACAACAACATATAGATAGAGATATGTGCAAAAAAATATCAAAATACACTCTTCTTCTTGTAAGCGGAAAGAAGTTGCTGGAACACCATTTCCGAGCTCTCCAAAAAGACCTGCGTCATTATTTTTCATGTGTCAGATACGGTGTAATGAAAGCGTTCTTTATTGTCAAAATCAGGTCATTAAAATGAATGCTTACTCATTTCCGTTCAGCTCAGAGAAGACATTTACATCAAGAGTGAAGATAAATGCTGGCGACGTGCTCTATGCATTATCGAAATCCCTTATAAGTGCTTGGCGACGAGTCGCATAGAAACCGTTTAAGCGCTTGTTCTTGATTCTTATAGATTTGGTTCTATTGTGCTCTGCAGTTGAAGCCCAGGGTGTGTTGCTTACTCAGGAGAAACTTTCTGCTTAGAGTTCATTTCATTTTCTGCACAGGACGTAGCCAGAAGGAAAAGCTAACAATAAAATCTTACAGCACTCATGGGAATGTGTTTGGACTGCAGTTTGTGTTTCCTTGCATCAAGAACATAGCGTAAAAAGATGACAGAAAATAACTTATTTTCAACAATTTCAATCCATAAAAGACTGTTCTTCTCAACTGCTGAAGTTGGATGGCAGGGTGGGCTACAGTGGGCCGAATGTCCCCAAGTATGGTCATTATTGTGTGAAACTCGAGTTCTCATTTTTCCCTCGGCCCTCTAGTGACTCGCATTACGGCTGATCCTTTTAGTTCAGTGCTCACAGGGGCCGGCCGGTCGGTACATACTTCAGGTGCCAAAAAAGACAAACTCTCAGACTGTTACATATAGGGAACATTTTGTCTCGAATTCGCTTTTAATAACAGGTCATGTCTGGAATGCCATCTCAATGGCACCGTTGTAGAGCTTGTTTGTTGGTAAACAAATGAACAGCAAGAAAGTCGAGTGCCAAGTCTGCTGAAGAATTCGAGAAGCACAAGGCGACCACAGAGGGCCGGTTACCTAATGCAGCATTGGGACACTTCAACATCATGCCACAATCATTTGGGTAATTCAGTTACTGGGCTGTTTACTTGCAGCTTGATTTTGGAGGAACTTACAAAGTAAAAGAAAACATGTCAGGGGTGGCATTTGTCCTTGAAAAACACTGCAGTGCACAAATAGGAAACAAAAATGAGATCATTTTAATAGAAATAGTTTTTCCTGGACAGCAATGTGAGGGGTGAATACAGAAAAACAAAAACAAATGAAGGCTTAAAAAGGATAGTTCACCCAAAAATTCAAGTTATGTCGTTATTTACTCACCCTTGCGTTGTTTCTAACCTGTATTACATTCTTTATCTGTTTTGAAAAATGTTTCAACTGTTAGTGTCCATGCAATGAAAGTCAACAGGGTCCAAAACAAACCACATTTTCCAAAATAATTTCTAATGTGCTCCACAGAAGAAAGTAAAATGAGAACAAAACTTTAATTTTGGGGTGAATTGTTCCTTTAAGTATCTTTTTTTTTTCCCCTACCAAATTGTACTTTGATCTGACAGTCAAATATCAAGGATTTCAGTATGAATCGGTAGGCTACCGTTCAAACGTTTGGGGTCAGTAAGATTTTTTAAATGTTTTTTTAAAGTCTCTTATGCACATTTATTTGATCAAAAATACAGTAGTAAAATAGTAATCTTGTGAAATAATATTACAATTTAAAATACTACTGTAAATATTTTTGTAATTTATATAAAATTGTATTTATTTCTGTGATGCGAAGCTGAATTTTCAGCAGCATTACTCCAGTCTTCAGTGTCACATGATTCTTTAGAAATTATTCTGATTTGCTGCTCAAGAAACATTTCTTATTATCATCAATGTTGAAAACAGTTGTGCTGCTTAATATTTTTGTGGAAACCATGACGCAGTTTATCCAAGATTCTAAAAGAACTGCATTAATTTGATATATAAATCTTTTGTTACATTACATAACAAAAAAATGTCTCTTACATTTGATCAATTTATGCACCTTTTCTGAATAAATGTATCAATTAATGTCTTAAAAAAATATTACTGAGCCCAAATTTTGAACGGCACTGTATCTGAGTTATTCTAACTACATTAATTTTAGAGGTGGTGTTTATTCAACCCCCCCAACAATGCCCTAAAGCCACTCAGAACAGCTTAAAAGGTTAGTTCAACCAAAACTGAAAATTCTGTCATTAATTACTCACCCTCGTGTTGTTCGAAACCCGTAAGACCTTCGATCATCTTCGGAACACAATTTAAAATATTTTTGATGAAATCTGAGGGCTCTCATGACATGCGAGCGTGTGGCGGCGCCGGCGCTGACCCAGATCCGGCATGATGACGTCATTACGCCGGATCTGGGTCAGCGCCGCCACACGTTCGCGTCATGATACTGTCGTGAACGCGCGTCCACAAATGACGCAGTAGAGATGAAAATGTGGAATAAAAAGTATTCTCGTAGCTTCGTAACTTTACAGTTGAACCACTGATGTCACACGGACTACTTTGTCAATCATCTTGGTACTTTTCTGGACCTTGAACGTGGTAGTTACCTTAGTCTCTTATGCACATTTATTTGATCAAAAATACAGTAGTAAAATAGTAATCTTGTGAAATAATATTACAATTTAAAATACTACTGTAAATATTTTTGTAATTTATATAAAATTGTATTTATTTCTGTGATGCGAAGCTGAATTTTCAGCAGCATTACTCCAGTCTTCAGTGTCACATGATTCTTTAGAAATTATTCTGATTTGCTGCTCAAGAAACATTTCTTATTATCATCAATGTTGAAAACAGTTGTGCTGCTTAATATTTTTGTGGAAACCATGACGCAGTTTATCCAAGATTCTAAAAGAACTGCATTAATTTGATATATAAATCTTTTGTTACATTACATAACAAAAAAATGTCTCTTACATTTGATCAATTTATGCACCTTTTCTGAATAAATGTATCAATTAATGTCTTAAAAAAATATTACTGAGCCCAAATTTTGAACGGCACTGTATCTGAGTTATTCTAACTACATTAATTTTAGAGGTGGTGTTTATTCAACCCCCCCAACAATGCCCTAAAGCCACTCAGAACAGCTTAAAAGGTTAGTTCAACCAAAACTGAAAATTCTGTCATTAATTACTCACCCTCGTGTTGTTCGAAACCCGTAAGACCTTCGATCATCTTCGGAACACAATTTAAAATATTTTTGATGAAATCTGAGGGCTCTCATGACATGCGAGCGTGTGGCGGCGCCGGCGCTGACCCAGATCCGGCATGATGACGTCATTACGCCGGATCTGGGTCAGCGCCGCCACACGTTCGCGTCATGATACTGTCGTGAACGCGCGTCCACAAATGACGCAGTAGAGATGAAAATGTGGAATAAAAAGTATTCTCGTAGCTTCGTAACTTTACAGTTGAACCACTGATGTCACACGGACTACTTTGTCAATCATCTTGGTACTTTTCTGGACCTTGAACGTGGTAGTTACCTTGCTGTATGGGAGGGTCAGAGAGCCCTCATATTTCATCAAAAATATCTTAAATTGTGTTCCGAAGACGAACGAAGGTCTAACGGGTTTCGAACAACATGAGGGTGAGTAATTAATGACAGAATATTTGGGTGAACTAACCCTTTAACTCTTTCCCCGCCATTGACGAGTTATCTCGTCTTTTAGAAGACAACGCT